CTGGTCATTAATTTCCCTCAATATCAATGGACTTAATTCACCTATAAAAAGACATAGGCTTACAGAATGGATACGAAAGCAGGACCCATCTTTCTGCTGCATACAAGAAACACATCTCAAATTCAAAGATAGACACTACCTAAAAATAAAAGGCTGGGAAAAGACTTTCCAATCAAACGGTCTTAAGAAACAAGCGGGTGTAGCCATCCTGATATCCAGCAAAATAGACTTCAAACTAAAATCAATCAAAAGAGATCAAGAAGGGCATTACATACTCATCACAGGAAAGATCCACCAAGATGAAGTCTCAATTCTGAATATTTATGCCCCAAACACAAGGGCACCCACATATGTAAAAGAAACATTACTAAAGCTTAAATCACATATAAAACCCCACACATTAATAGTGGGAGACCTCAACACCCCACTTTCACCACTGGACAGATCTCCCAAATTGAAACTTAACAGAGAAATAAAGGACTTAACTGATGTCATGACTCAAATGGACTTAATCGATATCTACAGAACATTCCATCCTAACAAAAAAGAATATACCTTCTTCTCAGCACCCCATGGAACCTTCTCTAAAATTGACCACATACTTGGCCACAAAACAAATCTAAACAGATACAAAACAATTGGAATAACCTCCTGTGTTCTATCAGACCACCATGGTCTAAAGTTGGATTTCAACAACAACAAAAGCTACAGAAAACCTGCAATCTCATGGAAACTGAATAATACCCAACTGAATCACCAATGGGTTAAGGAAGAAATAAAGAAAGAAATTAAAGACTTCCTAGAGATCAATGAAAATGAAGACACCACATATCCAAATTTATGGGACACTATGAAAGCAGTACTAAGAGGGAAATTCATAGCACTAAATGCCCACATAAATAAGTTGGAGAAATCTCACACTAGAGACTTAACAGCATACTTGAAAGCTCTAGAACAAGAAGAAGCACAGTCTCCCAGGAAAAATAGACGCCAGAAAATTATCAAAGTGAGAGCTGAAATCAATAAAATAGAAACAAAGAGAACAATACAAAAAATTAATGAAACAAAGAGTTGGTTCTTTGAGAAAATCAACAAGATAGACAAGCCCTTATCCAAACTAACCAAAAGACAGAGAGAGAGCATCCAAATCAACAAAATCAGAAATGAAAAGGGGGACATAACAACAGACATTGAGGAAATCCAGAGAATCATCAGGTCATACTTCGAAAACCTCTATTCGACAAAACTGGAAAACCTAAAAGAAATGGATAACTTTCTGGATAGGTACCACATACCTAAGTTAAATCAAGACCAGATAAACTATTTAAATAGTCCAATAACCCCTAATGAAATAGAAACAGTCATTAAAAGTCTCCCAACCAAAAAAAGCCCAGGACCAGATGGTTTCAGCGCAGAATTCTACCAGATCTTCAAAGAAGAGTTAATACCAATACTCTCTAAATTGTTCCACACAATAGAAACAGAAGGAACATTACCAAACACCTTCTACGAGGCTACAATTACCCTAATTCCTAAACCAAACAAGGATACAACAAAGAAAGAGAACTACAGACCGATCTCCCTCATGAACATTGATGCAAAAATACTCAATAAAATACTGGCAAACAGACTCCAAGAACACATCAAAACAATTATCCACCATGATCAAGTAGGATTCATTCCAGGGATGCAAGGGTGGTTCAACATACGAAAGTCCGTCAATGTAATACACCATATAAACAAACTCAAAGAAAAAAACCATATGATCATCTCACTGGATGCAGAAAAGGCATTTGACAAAATCCAACACCCCTTCATGATAAAGGTATTGGAGCGATCAGGAATACAGGGAACATACCTAAACATAATAAAGGCAATTTACAGCAAGCCAACAGCCAACATCAAATTAAATGGAGAGAAACTCAAAGCAATTCCACTAAAATCAGGAACGAGGCAAGGCTGTCCACTCTCCCCATACTTATTCAATATAGTACTTGAAGTTCTAGCCAGAGCAATAAGACAACATAAGGAGATTAAGGGGATACAAATTGGAAAGGAAGAAGTCAAGCTTTCCCTATTTGCAGATGACATGATAGTATACTTGAGCGACCCCAAAGATTCCACCAAGGAACTGATACAGCTTATAAACACCTTCAGCAACATAGCAGGATACAAGATCAACTCAAAAAAATCAGTAGCCCTCCTATATACAATGGACAAAGAAGCGGAGAAGGAAATCAGAGATACATCACCCTTTACTATAGCCACAAATGACATAAAATACCTTGGGGTAACACTAACCAAGCAAGTGAAGGACCTATATGACAAGAACTTTAAGTCCCTGAAAAAAGAAATTGAAGAAGATGTCAGAAAATGGAAAGATCTCCCATGCTCATGGATAGGCAGGACTAACATAGTAAAAATGGCAATCTTACCAAAAGCAATCTACAGATTCAATGCAATCCCCATCAAAATACCAACACAATTCTTCACAGACCTGGAAAAAATAATACTCAACTTCATATGGAATAACAAAAAACCCAGGATAGCCAAAGGAATCCTGTACAATAACACAACTTCTGGAGGCATCACGATCCCTGACTTCAAGCTCTACTATAGAGCTACAGTAATAAAAACAGCTTGGTATTGGCATAAAAACCGACATGTGGACCAATGGAATCGAATTGAAGACCCTGACATTAATCCGCACACCTATGAACATATAATTTTTGACAAAGAAGCCAAAAGTGCACAATGGAAAAAAGAAAGCATCTTCAACAAATGGTGCTGGCAAAACTGGATATCAACATGTAGAAGGCTGCAAATAGATCCATATCTATCACCGTGCACAAAACTTAAGTCCAAGTGGATCAAGGACCTCAACATAAATCCAGCTACTCTGAACCTGCTAGAAGAGAAAGTAGGAAGTAGTCTTGAACGCATTGGCATAGGAGACTACTTCCTAAATAGAACACCAGTAGCACAGACTCTGAGACAAACAATCAATCAATGGGACCTCTTGAAACTGAGAAGCTTTTGTAGAGCAAAGGATACGGTCAACAAGGCAAAGCGACAGCCTACAGAATGGGAAAAGATCTTCACCAACCCCACATCTGACAGAGGACTGATATCCAGAATATATAAGGAATTCAAGAAATTAGACATCAAAATGCCCAACAGTCCAATTAAGAAATGGGCTATAGAACTAAACAGAGAATTCTCAACAGAGGAAACTCAAATGGCCGAAAGACATTTAAGGAACTGCTCAACATCCCTAATCATCAGGGAAATGCAAATCAAAACAACTCTGAGATACCACCTTACGCCTGTCAGAATGGCTAAGATCAAAAACACTGAAGACACCTTATGCTGGAGAGGATGTGGAGCTAGGGGAACTCTCCTCCACTGCTGGTGGGAATGCAAGCTTGTACAACCACTTTGGAAATCAATATGGCGCTTTCTTAGAAAATTGGGAATTAATCTCCCCCAAGATCCAGCTATACCACTCTTGGGCATATACCCAAGAAATGCTCAACCACACCATAAGAGCACTTGTTCAGTTATGTTCATATCAGCATTGTTTGTAATAGCCAGAACATGGAAACAACCCAGATGCCCTTCAACTGAAGAATGGATAAACAAAATGTGGTACATATACACAATGGAATACTACTCAGCAGAGAAAAACAATGGCATCATGAGGTTTGCAGACAAATGGATGGATCTAGAAAAAATCATCCTGAGTGAGGTAACCCAGACTCAGAAAGACAAACATGGTATGTACTCACTCATAGCAGGATACTAGACATGAAACAAGGATGACTTGTCTGCTACTCACATCACCAGGGAGGCTACCTGGAAAACAGGACCCCAAGAAAGACACAGGGATCACCCAATGACAGAGAAATGGAATGAGATCTACATGAACAGCCTGGACATGAGTGGCGGTAATGAAAGGCGAGGGTTGAGGGAAAGAGAGCTTGGGGGAGCGGGAGATCCCAGCTGGATCAACAACAGAGAGGGAGAACAAGGAATAGGAGACCATGGTAAATAAAGACCACATGAGAATAGGAAGAAGCAAAGTGCTAGAGAGGCCCACAGAAATCCACAAAGATACCCACACAACAGACTGCTGGCAGTGGTCGAGAGACAGCCCGAACTGACCTACTCTGGTGATGGGATGGCCAAACACCCTAATTGTTGTGCTAGAAACCTCATCCAACTACTGAGGGATCTGGATGCAGAGATCCAAGACTAGGCCCCGGGTGGATCTCTGGGAGTCCAATTAGCGAGAATGAAGAGGGTTTATATGAGTGAGAATTGTTGAGACCAAGGTTGGATAAAGCACAGGGACAAATAGCCAAATGAATGGAAACACATGAACTATGAACCAATGGCTGAGGGGTCCCCACTGGATCAGGACCTCTGAATGGATGAGACAGTTGATTGGCTTGATCTGTTTGGGAGGCATCCAGGCAGTGGGACCAGATCTTGTGCTCATTGCATGAGTTGGCTGTTTGAAACCTGGGGCCTATGCAGGATTGTTTGGCTCGGCCTGGGAGGAGGGGACTAGACCTACCTGGACTGAGTCTACCAGGTTGACCTCAGTCTGTGGGGAAGGCTTTGCCCTGGGGGAGATGGGAATGGGGGGGGGGGGTTGGGAGGAAGGTGAGGGGGATGGGAGGGGGGAGAACAAGGGAATCCGTGGCTGATATGTAGAACTGAATTGTATTGCAAAATAAATTAATAAAAAAAAAAAACTGAAAAAAAAGATACAATAAAAAAAAAAACCATAAAATTTTATATCAAAATAATTTCATGTGAAAATTTCCATAGCACTTATTTACTTCTGGCATAACATATTATTTAGCCATGGAACAATGTGGGAATGAGAAAAACAAAATTTAAATCTCTTTTCAGAAATACATTGTTAATCTACTCCACTAACTCTCCCTAGATGCACCTGTCGGGGAAGGGCTACAGGAACGGAGAAGACCTACCTCCCCATTCTTGGGTGGAATTGTCAACTCCATGTACCCATGAGGGATGTACTGCTGACTGTAGTCAAAGCGGGGCTTCTTCATGAGGTGAGCTCTGACGGTTGAATAGGCTCCATCACAGCCGACAATGAGGTCACAAGTGACATCTCTGGGGACTTTGTCAGGTCTGAAAAACAGAATGAACCATTCCCCCCCGCCAAGAAAGAATCTAGTGAAAATGGTAATATATTTCTACTTGGGTGTAAAAAGCAAACTCTAGAGGTAATTCAAAAAGCCTGCTTCTACACATCTAATTTAGAGCCTGACTTAATCTAACTTGAATTCAATAGATTTAAAATTAAGATGAAAATGCTTGTCCCAGACATGGTTTTGCTTTTGAGAATGAGAATAATGTACCACTGCCCTGATACTAAAGAGAGACATGCTTGCTCCAAAAGTGTGACAGAGCTGAAGAAAGACAACCTTGAGAAAATGGGAAAGCAGTCCCGAAGTGCAGAGGTAAACACATCTGTAAGTCCCGAGTATGTGAGTGAACTCAGGAGCATCTGCAGAGATGTGACCAGGGCTTGCTGGAGGAAAAAAGCTTGGTTTGAGTAAAGGATACCAGATAATAAGCTTAAAAACGGAGCACACTTGTCCCTTGTTCATCTCCAGGATTGGTTCTAGAATATCCAAATCTGCAGATGCTCAAGTTCCTTGTGTAAAACAGCACAGTATTTGCATATGTCCTACCCCTCTCCCCCAGATGCTTCAACTTCTCTCTAGAAATGCTGTGTGAGAGGCTGTATCATTAGGAAGCAAGGGCAAGAGTAAAAGTCTCTGCATGGTCAGCACAGAAGACCTCTTTCTCTTTTGTGTTTTCTTGGAGATGCAATCAAAACTGGATACTTTTGATCTGAGGTTGGTTGTACCCATGATTAAAGCATTGTTAGATACAGGAGGTTAACTTGTATAACGCACAAAGGGCAAAGGAGGAGGGAAGGAGAATTTTGGATATAAAGACAGAAGTTTAAATTCATTGTATTATTTCTTCCATTAGAAGGATGATGATTCAGGAGTGGCAGTTTCAGAAAGCTGACTTTCCCATGTGAAGTGGAAGGGGGACACACAGGAGGCAATGGCAGCAGCACACACGTGTAGGGACAGGAGTTGGACACCATCATCTCACAGAAAGAAAGAGACTAGAAAGAAAGATATACTGACAAGAATGGACAGACTGAATGGGAGAAAACAGGGGAGAAGAATACACCGTAAGGAACTGATAATGACAAAACAGTACCAGGGAAGACAGGGATGTCTGGAGGCAGGGAGGCAACAGAGATGAGAAGGAATCTGAAATAATGCAACTGTACTGGGACTGGGACATCACTGATCAGGACCGCACTGAGGCCAAGAATGAGGCCAGCGGCCTGGGCACACATGCTAACGCTGGAGATGTGAATTTACAAGTGCTCATGTAACCTGTGACTGATGTATGGTATCCCGAGGGTGGGACTTTAAAGGACATAGAGCTGGTCAAGGACAGGCAGAGAAGTCACCCCATGAAAGTGGACAGGCAACACAAGGCAGGGGAGGGCCACCTTTTTCCAAGGATGAGAGAGTCTGAACAAAGAATGTTCACCCAAGCACGGAAATGAAGGAGAATTACCAGTTCTGGAGACTCAGGAAGCATGGTGGACTGTTCTCAAACAAAAAGGCCTGGCTGTGAAGACTGTTTGAATTTTCGCTTCAGTAATCATTTAACTCTTGCAGAAGAGCCAAAGAACAAAGTTTGCAGGTAGAGTTCTCCACTCCCACCCTTGCCCTCTGAAGCCAAAAGCCTGAATGGTGATTACCCAAGCACGGTGATCACCCCTTCCTCAGGACGGCATTTCGACAGCTTGTGGCCAAAGTGCACCTTTGCATTGGGGTAGGACTCCACCGCTGAGGGAGGAAACAGAAGGTTAAACAGAACTGAGTTTCAGCTGTGGCTTCACCTAATCAAACTGAAATGCTGATCATTTGCTGTGAATAGTAGAGAGAGACCACATAATTAACTGATCTGTTTATTTATGACAAGGTCTTACTATGTAGTACAATCTTGAATTCACTGTGTACCCCAGGTAAGCCTCCAGCTCACAATACCTGGCTTCTACCATATGAATGCTGGGCTTTCATGTGTGTACCTATCATGCCAGAAAAGATACTTAGTCTCTATTTTTCTTTTTTTGCTTTTTTTGTGACAGGGTTTCTCTGTTTAGTCCTTGCTGTCCTGGAACTCACTTTGTAGACCAGGCTGGCCTTGAAGATCGCCTGCCTCTGCCTCCCAAGTGCTGGGATTAAAGGTGTTCACCATGATGCCCAGTTTTTTTTTTAAGTCAAGCAGGACATGGTGGTGCATGGCTTTATCTTTTCTTTTTATTAATTTACTAATTTATTATTATTATTATTTTGGTTTGGTTTGGGTTTTCTTGAGACAGGGTTTCTCTTTGTAGCCCTGGCTGTCCTGGAACTCTGTAGACCAGGCTGTCCTCAAACTCAGAGATCCATCTGCCTCTCCCTCCCTAGTGCTAAGATTAGTGTGTGCCACCGCCAACCAACGAGATACTTATTCTTAATATGACATGGATTTGTTAAAACGTTAATTTGGCAACTGTTTTGTGGATAGTCAAGTATAACTTTTAACAATACAGACAAAAGAAAAACAGCTGCTGTTACTTTAAAAATATTCAACTAGTAGCATTGTACAAACTCTAGCATCCCTGTGATTGTGCCCTTGGGAAGAAACGATTGTCACATTCTTCAAAAGCTGCCTTTCCAGCTTGATTTGTGAGCAGAAACATTCAGCCATTAAGAACATTCCCTCCATTATGCATGGCTATTTCTTTCTCTGGCTTCTGATTGACGGTGCTCCCGGTGCCATGGCCCTTGGATACTGAGCAACTGTAGAACCAGTCGAGCTTGGTGTAGTGGTGCATGCCTATAATCTCTTCACTCATGCTAAGGCAGGAGTTCAAGGATCATGAGTTCAAGACCAGCTTGAGCTATGTAGTATGACTGTGTCTCAAAAAAGAAAAATGAATTAAAAGGAAATAAGAAAATGAACCATCCCTCCCCACCACCAACAAATAATCTAATGAAAATGGTAATGTATTTCTACTAAGATTAATAATATATTTCTGAAAAGAGAAATGAAAAAAAGAGAAAAGAAAAAAGGTAATTTCCTTGTCACATAACTGCAGAAATCAGAGTTTATCTGAAACAGTTAGGGTATCTTTTTTTTTTTAAATACATTTTGTTATACTAGGTTACAATAAAATTATGTTCACACAGTTAAAATATTATATATGTGGCTTGGCATTTGTGCTTCCAGACTGGACAGTGCCTCCTTGGGAGGTTCACAGAGCAGATCATCACATAAAGATCTTGAGAATTATTTTTAGGAAAAGAGTCTTAAAAGTGTCTTGGTACAGGAGTTACTGAATGTCCCAACCACATCTATCTTGTTTTCCTTGTTATAAACATTGAATGGGAGAGCAAACCATGAAACATTTGTGCATGAAATGTGGGTTCATCTGAGAATGGGGTTCACTTACAATGTTTTTGGAGGGGAGGTGATTAAGTTAGAGAAAAATAAGTATTTATAGTTAATCAAATATATGGAATGTATGGATCACATGTTTCATGCTTTGCAAAGAAACGAGAACTTTATATGCCAAACAATGTTTGGGTTAAGAGATCCTGTTTCTCTCTCTCTCTCTTTCCACACACACACACACACACACACACACACACACACACACACACACACACACACACAGAGAGAGAGAGAGAGAGAGAGAGAGAAAGAAAGAAAGAAAGATACATGCAGTCCTTTATTAATTTGGAGTCTGTGAAGCACATCCTCAAAGAAGAACAGTATGGAAATGTCTGTCATGTATACCAAGACTGCAATTTATATATATATATATATATATATATATATATATATATATATAATCAGCTCTTTATTATTAGCTGATGTTCCATATATAATAATAAAAGCAGAAATTAAGTCATTAAAAAGCAGAGACTTTGGAATAAACAGACTAAAGCTCATATCTAGATTCTACCAATTATAATAGTGGGACCTAAGAGTTCTAAGCTATCATTTTGCCATTTGTAAAGCTGAGATAAACTTGTTTCCGCCTCACATGGTTGTTGTGGGGCTTGTGGAAATCAGTGCGTGTAAAGCACATGCTATAGTGCCTGGTGCTTCAGTAACAACTTGCTATTCTCTTTATCTTAGTAAATTCAGAGGCTGTAAACAGGTCTGTGACGTTGCCGTTTTAAAAAGTTGCTTGGTGTTTCTCTTCTTTCTAAAGATGAGCAGGGATGTGTGTAGTATATTGTTCCCCCTCCACCCACCATCTAGCTGAAAGACAGCTCCAAATATAGCCAGAGGTGAAAAAGTAATTCTATGGAACATTTAACTTGCTAAACAGACAGAGGCTTCTAGAATATATCAAGAAGTGTTGGTTAAAAAGACAATAGAAGCTCAACAAGAGGGAAACCATGGTGGGTACTGAGAACCTAGTCAACTACCCAAGGCTAATGAAGTCATGGATCTTGGAGGAGAGCCTATGACTACCACTTTACTAAACCAGCTTAATTCCCAACTGCTTTCTAAACATTTGTCCTTATACCCATAGATTAAGTGCAGCTCTCACCCTTATCAAAGATACTCCTCTTTGCAATGGATGAAGATCATTACAGAAAACCACAACCAATTGAAATGCAGAGTTGTGGAGCCATTCCAAAGGATGTGTCTACAAAACACACCCGCACCTAATGCTCAGGGAACAATGTGGAAGGGGGCAGGGAGACTGTAAGAGCCAGAGGATCAGGGAGTTTGCTGTGAGATTGGGTCTCCTAGGAATGTCAGAAGTGACACCCATAACGTCTCATCAACATGGCTGCCTAAAGATGAGCTGAACAAGGACAACAATGAGGTGGATGAGGGGGAAGCCCATGGGGCCTCAACCCTACACATGGAACTATAGGCAAGGAATGCTGAGAGCAGGAGAAATCAGTTGTCTTTCCCAGGTTTGGTGGTTTGAATAGGAATGGTCCCTATAGACTTGTGTGTTTGAACGCTTGGCCCATAGGGAGTGGCACTATTAGGAGATATGGCATTGTTGGAGGAAGTGTGTCACTGTGGAGATGGGCTTTGAGGTCTATGCTCAAGCTCCACCCAGTATGGGACACACAGTTGTTTCTGTTGTCTGTGGATCAAGATGTAGAACTCGCAGCTCTTTTTCCAGTACCGTGTCTGCCTGCATGCTACCCGCCATGATGATTGTGGACTAAACATTTGAACTGTAAGCCCCAATTAAATGTTTTCCTTTATAAAAGTTGTCGTGGTCATAGTGTCTCTTCACAGCAATAGAAACCCTAAGACACCAGGGAGGGCACACCAATTGGTTATCCAACACCAAATGGTCAGCCCTGAAAATACACATATGAATAACATTACACAGACTGAAAAGGTTATATTGAGGAATATATATATAAAACAACAGTTAATGAACAAAGAGACCATGTATTTGAAAGGGAGTAAGGAGGAGTGTATGGAAGGTTTTGAAGTGAGGAAATGGAAGGGAGAAATGATGCAATTATATTATCTCAAAAGTAAATGCTTTTAAAATTAAAAAAAGAAGATAGTAGAAATGTTCAAGGGGTATGCTCTGCTGGTAATGAATCTGTTCAGTATAATCACTGAACTGGTATAATCTACTGTTAAATGTAATGAAGACTGAAAGGATACCAGAGGTATGAAAGGTTACCAGGGATGTGATGCTATGGTTCACTAAACTTGCAGCCCGGTAGCTTCAGTTTATGGGTGATTTTTTTTAGTTACTCAGAGTACAAACTTGAGAGCTAGATCTTGCATCTTCCTTTCTCAGTCCCCTCTACACATTTGGTCTCCTACAGACATGAATCTGCCCTCCCCTTCACCACACTGCTATCTGACTTTGCCCAGGGCCTTGCTTAGGCACTCGGGGACTATGGCAATGCCCTCAAAGTTGCAGCCTCCTTTCAAGCCTTCACATCTTATTTTCTGGACATGCTCCTCTAATAGGGCACTTGGCAGTTGTCTGCTTATGTCTGTTGACCCATTGGACTGTGAATTCTTGACCAGACAGTGCGTGGTAGAATTCCAATGTCTGAGGAATGAATTATCTTCTTTTACATAATTGATGAGATGAAAAGAGGCACTGTGGCAGTTTTGCTACTACTTTTCAAGGGCTCTGTACCGTACACAATCTTATTCTTTATAGCCCATAGAAAGGAACAGCAAGCAAACCCTAGTAAGTCATGTGACAAGCTGAGTGAACAAAAGCATTAGGCTTACCAGTCAGTAGATCCTTGTTTAACTTTTCTCTGCTAATGGAAAGGATATACTGCAAGAAAAACAAAGTAGACATTGTTTCTGGAGAATGGGCAAATGCAACTCTAGTTACTCAGAAAGAAGAACTTTTCACTATTTAGCAGAAGGTTGTAAACTAGTTTTAGAACTATTTATTTAAGTGGTATGATAATAATAATAATAACAACCATAATAATAATACAATGATAATAAACAACTTTAACCAAATATGCTTAATATAATATTCAAATTTTTATCTTAGGCTTTTTCAAAGTTTGAACTATAAAAATCAAAACCTCATACAGTGAAAATATTAGTTTCATTAACATAATTTTAACATTGTAAATTTCGTATTTCCATCAGAGCTCTCTAAATATGGTTGTTACATTGCTTTACTACTGATAACATCAGAGCAAATGCACTGTTCCCCATCTCCCCCCACCAAATCTACCTCCCAAGCCTTAACCTCAGAGAAAACTGTGAATAACAGGGGGTGGGGGAGGGGCTGTAGGAGAAAGACAACCCCTCACTACAGTCTTTCGCTTATTTCGGACTTTGTGGTAAAATGTGGCATGTTGACTGTCCTAGAATGCAAAGCACGTATGGTGTCTCGGGACCATAATGCTGTAAGCATCAATTAAAATGTTTTATTTTTAGTTTAGTTTAAAAGCAGAAAGAAAAAAAATCAAGTAAAATAAAAATTGATCTATAATAATACATCTTAGGTTGCTTGTAGTCATCATCACACCCAGTTAAGTTTAAGTATTAGTTATTTTATAGCGAAAATACTTATCATGGACCATGAAAATCATAATACAGTCTTATGATTTAAAGAGAATCCATTAAATATTTAAAGCACATCATTTTTCCAAATGATGGGAGACCACACAGTTTTTAACATGAAAATACTCATTTACAGCTCTTCCTCTCATCCTGAGGTAGAAATTTTACCTTAGCAGTCAAATCTAAACTTGGTATAAAAATAACTCAGTCATATCACAGTGGCAGTGGCTAAGGAGTTGCTTGCTTCCTGTTGTGATGGGGCAAGACAACGCAGAGGCTCCTCCATCTTGGATTGTTGCTGAGGCCATTTCCAGATTTAACTAGAATGTGGTCCCCTTGATGGAGAATCCCATGGAGAACTACCCAACTCCATCTAGGAAGCAAAGGCCAGGATGTCCTGGCTAACTTATCTTAGCCTTTGTTAACACTGCCTGTTTGTGTAGAACCTCCCTGCAGCTAACCACTTAGCTTTGGTTAAAAGTGCTTGCTTCAGACTGCTTACTCTGTGAAGGCCCGGCCCCCACCCCTGCAGATGCTGAGCAAGATGCCTGGATAAGGCCTCTGTCCTTAAAAAAAATAACTCCATGTTCGGGACACTTGGGGCCGCACCTAGGTCCCCAGACACTTGGATGTAGTCCCAGCCAGCTGAAATAAAGATTTTCAACTGGCTGTACACTATGTCTGAGTAATCACCCCAGTGAAGAGAAGAACGATGACTCAGTAGTTAAGAGCACTGACATGTTTTAGAGCACCCGGGTTCAATTCCCAGACTGTCGGTGTCCAATCACGCCAGGATTAAAAAAAAAAAAAAAAAGACAGAAACACTTGACCTCTCTCTCCTCTTTTTTAAAGAGGTAGTGTAGGATGGCAAGAAGCAGAAGCACTGCTTCCTCCAAGCCTCATAGCCCAAGGTCATGGGCGGAGCAAACGCCACTACAGGAGTAACAGTGATGTAGGAAGACAGACCTCTTCTTTGCCTCATAGTTCTGTTTCCTGCACTTCTGTGTCACTAATCACTGTGTTTCAGTGGAAACCAAATGTGTATTCTGAGTGTGAAAGGCCAGAGGCAACGGCTCAAGAGTAGAGTACTTGTTCAACTTGCACAAGGCCCTGGGCTCCATTCCCAGCACAGCAAGCAAACGTTCTAGAGGATGTTAGGAAATGTTCTGATTATAAATATTCATTTCAATTAATGTGGTGAAAATAGACTTTTTATGTTAGTTACGGGGCTTGTGTGCTGTGGGAACCAATAGACACTATCAGCCCCATGGGGCACCAGGACTTGTCTACCGTTTACTTCAGCGGTCTGGATGGCATTACATCATCAGCAAGAGTCAGTGCTGTTCCTGACGCAGAACATGCCTCCAACACCTGTTCTAAAAGGCTGGTCCCTCGAGGAACTACTAAGAGTCAAGGAGTCTAGAGATATAAAGTGGCTGTCATTCCAAAATCACAAGGATAAAAGCCATGTTAGAGAGTTTACTTGGAGGCATGTAATGTGATTGTTCAAATGCAGACCATTTCAGATACAACAAGGGAAAGCAGTTACTTTCTCCACCCTCAATGCCCTCAAAGGAAAATGCCTCCTATTAAGGGAGCGAGGTAGCTTAACTTTGAACACAGAGGCTCAGGAGTGTGCCGGGAGCTTTGACCACCTCTGTGTATTACACGGTATCTTGACAATTCCCAGGACAGTCTAGGAGGGAGAGGGGGATGTCCACAAAGCCAGGAAGCATCTGTACATGGTGTGGGGGAAAGGGCCAAGAGACAAACAGCCAGGGATGGTTTGGGAAGTCAGTTTTGCGCATTATGGATATCTAAACTGTGTGTCTTAATGCAAAGTGCTTCATCCGTGGCCCAGAGCTCTTCAGCAGATTCATTCTCTCTCCCTCCCCCTCCCCTACTCTCCCTTCTTCTCTCCTTGTCTCCCTTCCTCTGTCTCTCTCTTAGTGTGTTTGTGTGTGTGTGTGTGTGTGTGTGTGTGTGTGTGTGTGTGTGTGTGTGTAACATATGTGTGTGATGGGATGGTATGGAGGCCAGAGGAGGGTGCCAGGTATCTCTCTCTCTCTCTCTCTCTCTCTGCTTTCTTCCTCTAAGACAGGTTCTCTCACTGAACCTGGAGCTGCCCTGGCAGCCAGCAAGTCCCAGCCATCCCCCTGTCTCTGTACCTCACAGCACTGGGATTACAGAGATTACAGGTGTGCCTATGCCTGGCTTTATATGTGGGTGCTGGGTCACTGAGGATATATTTGTATTTATGTGTATACATGTGGTTGTATGAGTGAAAAAAGGCACCCGTGGAGGTCAGGAGAGAGTGATGGAGTCTATGAAGCTGGAGTTACAGGTGGTTGTGAGCTTCCCAGTGTGGGTGCTGGGAACTGAACTCAGGTCCTCTGGAACAGTAGCAAGTGCTCTTAACTGCTGAGCCCTCTCTGCAGACTGAATGCTGGGGATCTGAACTCAAGGCTGCACAGTAAGTGCAGCTCCAAATATGCTGTTTTAGGTCATTTATGAGTAGAGATTAACAAAGGGTGGATTTCATGCCTGGATCTTGGTGATAGCCAGCTAATACTGGGTGAGGGGGACCCAGGGGCCAAGAGGCTGCAGAAGCCAAAAGAAGGTGGATGTGAAGATGTGAAGAAATCTTGGGGTCGTGAGGATGACTGCACTTCCTCAGGCAGAGCAGTTGAGTGGTTCAAAGCAACTTGATGTAGTTCTTAAAAGGCAAAGCGGCCTTTGTGTTTGACTAAAACACAGCAGATGTCAATGTAATCATGCGGAAACTGAAGAATGCCGGTGGCTGTAAACTTAGCCTTCGCCCAGTTCGTAAGAACCGAGAAATAACAGTAGTGGCGGGAAAGGGGCCACTTCCTCCCTATTGCAGTGAAACTCCAAAATTGGAACTCTCCCACACACCTGCTCCCTCTTGGGGACTCAATCCCCACCACAACAGTTGAAAGCAATCATGGCCTCTGGTCCCAATCACTCTCCTCGTCTAGTTTCTCTGGTATTTGAACTCTATCTTCTTCTGCCCACTGATACATGATTGGCCAGGGCCCTGGAGTGAACTTGGCTGGACAGCTCAGCTTCCTTTGGATGTTCCGTGGCAATACAAAAGACTAGTGAGATGATATTGTGAGTCACTCACCACGGAGACAGAGAGCAATGGGGCCATAGGCATGGCTGCCTGGGCTTCCCTGTCACACCCCTAAGAAGAAAGCTGCCTTATTTGTGCCTTGATGAATCTCATGTGAGTCTGCAGGCTGTTTCCTCTTCTATAAAGCGTGGTAGCTGGGTTCAAGTTCAATAACTTATGCTATGCTAGAGTGAGCTTACATGCCCTCTCTGTCAAGCCTCTGAAATTACTTTGCATTTCAGATTTAAGTCTTAGAGATGAAGTCTTGCTCAGCTTTCCTCCATTTGATTAGGGTAATTCTATTTTGCTACTGATTTTAAATTTCTACAGAGTGCTTCAATTTTTGCTTTCTCTGTGGCCTTCCTGTAAGCTACAACTTCCCCCTTTCTTCAAGTCACTCTTCCATTTCCTGACTGTACCACACAGTGACCCTCCCCTCGTCTTCTTCTACTGATATCTCTTCCCCATGAAACAAATGACTGTCCCTTGTCCTTCAGAAGAAGACTGCGAACCTTACTCAGGCTCTGTTTCTCATAAGGCATGGCTCCACAAAAATAAAGCAAACTGGGAATTCCCCCTCTTGTTGATGGAGTTTCAGGACTTCATTCTCTCTCAAATTTATTTCTGAACTCAAAGGGTATAATTAGATGTAAATACATTTTCTTTTAGTTAGGAACGTCAGCACGTAAAAGATGAGGAAAACACAGAGCAGGGTAATGGATTTGCTTTCAAAAACTACAGCACCATCTGGCCTCTGTTGTTTTGGGAATTAGAAAGTACTGAAAGCATTTCTGGTTCATTCTATACATTCTATTATAAGCAAATCCAGGGCAAGAGGGACATTGAGGGGAAGGCAACAGCAATGGACTATGCCCCAGAGTTGTCCTCGTACATGATACTCAACAACAAATAACGTGGTAATTCTTTCTAATTGAAAGGGAGGCAGAGGGCATCCCAAACAGCTGGGCCAGTGGGAGCCACATGCAGAACAAGAAGTGGCCTCATGATGAGGATAGGCGTAGGTCAATGTTTGTCATGGTCGTTATTGCCTGGGCCCTGGTTTGAACATCTGTGGACTAACTAACCAGTGTATGTGTTCCTGGTGTCTAGACTGAGGCTGGAGTATCTGAGTTAAAGAAGAGCAAGTGGCCCATGGCAGGCATCATTTCAGATAGAATTGATGTGCAATCCACTGCCTCCAGTGTGAACCTACCTGAGACTTATTCCCATAGGGAATTGCAGACTTCTTTCCTGAGAGAGAGTGGATCATTCTCGCTCTCATGGGCACACCTTTGGAGACAACCTGAGAAGAACCAGAAACAACCATTTCCATTGCTGTGACCTACCACCACGAGAATCAAATAGACATGAATATAAATGGGATATTTCAGTTAAACCTTTAAAGGGACCCAGGAAGCCTAATGTCATTCAGTGGCTACTTTGCTCCCAAGTATGTCAGTGTTTCTTTAATTTGGAAAAAAAAAATGAATGTTTATCTGGTTTAAACTCTCTATCACAGACTTTGGGGAGTAGTTAGATGTTAGAGGTACTGAGTTGGGGGCCAAATGATTTTCTTCTGACTATGAGAAGGGTCATTGTGAGGAGAAAAATGTAATCCTCCATGCTTTCTGTTGTATTCCTTGGCTATGAGTTCCCTGGTTAGAGGTAATGTTGCATGTGATAGCAAGCAGACATGCCTTCAAGTTCCTTCTCTGACTTCCCTCAATGAAGGACTGTAACCTGTGAGATGGAAAAAACCTTTGCCTCTCCTAGTTTGCTTTTGATCAGAGTGTTTCATCACAGTGCCTGAAAGGAAACTAGAGCAAACCCGACCTGCCCAATCAGAGACCCACTTTCCTGTAAGAGTCCAGTGTGAAACATGATACCAGATGGAATTGTAGTGTCATGTCTGTGACTCCCCCAGTCCTCAAGTCTCAACACCCATCATGGGGTAAAAGTTCACTAGCATGTCAAATCTGGAATTTTTCAAGCCTTTGGTGAGTGAATTTTCATATGCAGGTCATTGGTATCAAATAACATTTCATATCAGGATAAAATCAATGCCATGAATTGTTGAAAACCATCGAGGATATTCATCTCCACAAAAAACTTATGAGGCTATAGCATTGGCTTGGTGAGTAATCGTGCTTACTATGCAGGCATGAGGGCCTGCCTTTGGATATCGAGTGGCCAGTTCAAGGGTCAATGAAAGACCCTGGCCCAAGGAGTAAAGGTAGACAACGGCAGAACAGGACATCCAACACGTTCTTTTGGCCTTTGCAGGTACTAGTGTGGGCATGCTCACCCAACACATACATAAACACATAGGTCTACATCACACACACACACACACACACACACACACACACACACACAGGCAGACAGACATGCACGTGCACACACACACACACACACACACACACACACACACACACACACACACACACACACAATTTTTTTTAAAAGAAAGAAAACTGCATCAACAATGTACCTGATCTTCCAGACCAATGGCCTTCAAGGCCTGCCGTCCTCTATAAGAAAGGGCCAAGTTAATGCTTCTTCCACGAGTAAACTCAGCCACTCGAATATCTAAAAACAGGAAGCAGACTTTGTGATGCACACACTTCCTCAAATGCGGCTAAGGAGTGAGCAAATCCTTGCATTTGAACAATTGTTCAATTTAGAGTCAAATTAAAAGACTCATTAATGCATCTAAAGAAAATACCAGGTGTCAACTAGTATTCAATTAAATTTAGGTCACTGAGGTTTTAAAAGTATTCTAATAGTTCTTATATCTTAAATTTCTTTTATTAAGACTTCTTTTATTCAGAACATCCAAAGAAATAGATGGTGCAATTGGAAACCCTTCCTCATTTTCCATTGCCGACTCACCTTCTCTAGCTTCATACACATCAACTTGAAAATTCCTCTTTGCAAGAAAGCATGCATTCAATGCTCCAACCTAGAAATCAAAACCAACTTTTTCATGTCTTTGTCTGGTTCTGTACACACATGGACATTTTGGTGAAAAACGCACTATCGTGTATGGATGGATATACTACTCCATTAATTACATTGACTTGGTTGTAGTCACTGTCCAAGAAGATCAAAGGCAAGATCAGTCAGACCATCCAGGCCTGATCATGCAAGCCTATAATCCATCTGAGGCAGGAAGGTCTTGAGTTCAAGACCTGCTTGTGCAACTTAGGAATAGCCTGTCTCAGTATCAAAAGGTGACTGGGGATACTACCTTTGTCTAGCGTGTGCAGAACTCTGAATTCATTCCCCAATAATGTAAAAGAAAAGAAGAACACAACAATCAGATTAATTCAAAATTAAGTGGTATAGTTGTAGACATAGGTTTGGCTTTTTTTTTCTGCAAAGGAGGGGACATGTGTTAGAATATTTAGAGAAGACCTTTTCATAATCAAATGAATAAATACTCTGCTAGCATCCCAAAATGGCCATTACAAAGGAACGAACAAATGAATTCTGGTGTATTTACACAAAAGCATAAGTGAAGAGTGAGTTACAGATGATTCATACTGTGTAACCTTCTTACAAAAAGGATAATAGAGACAGAGCCATGGGTATATGTGTGTATGTATATATATATATATATATATATATATAATTAAAATATGTTTATATTTATTAATGCATATATGATCATATGGTATGGATGTGATAAAAATATTAATTAAAAGGAAAGTATTCATGGCAGTGTTCTAGTGGGTGAGGAAGTCAGTGAAATTCACTGGAATATATTGGTTTTCACGTTGAGTAGTGAGCTCGCGAGTGCTTATTATTAACAGTAAACTAGCAACAACACAAAAGTGGTAATTAGGAGCCTTCTTTAAGTCCAGTAACAGCAGTATATCAAAGACTATGAGAATTCCTATTCTGTGTTAGTGAGGTTCAAATGAAGCTACGAGGAAAACCTTGGCATATATGCTCAGCTGCAAGGGCTGATTCTATGCTGGGGATGAGGACTCTACACTCTGAACGTGTTACCTCTTCTCACTTTCTGTAGAAAGTGCATAATTTAGAATAACTGAATAACTGTCAGCAGCATCTTAAGCTGTTAGGTGGTGAAGTAACTAAGAAGACAAGAAGAGATAGACAGAAACGTGATGTGTAAACCGCTCCAAGCCTCCCACAATTCTGTAAAGACACCATAGGAAGGAGGGCAGAGGAAGGAAGAAATTGGGCACAGTAAGCCAGACTTCATGAGAGTAGTCTCTCCTAGGGACGTGGACATTTATGAACTAACTCTGCAGTTGTTTGAAAGCACTGCACGCAGAGCCTACAATAGGAAGCAGGTAGCAAATGAAGTGTGAGGAATAAATTCCTTGCATGTAGGCAAGACTGGCTTCTGTGAAGTACTTCAAAACCCCATCAAGACTGTTGGAGAGATACAGGCAGAGAACATGAAAGTTGAAACTTCTTTGATGAAGCCAGAGCCTCAAAAGATGGAGGAAGGTTCACAGAAACATCAAAAGTGTCCCTTGACCCCCTGAACAAAGGAAGATAGACTTCCACAGCCCATCAAAGTCCATTCCACCTGCTGAAAGATATTCTAGGGATGGAATGACAGAGAGAAATCTCGGAGCCTAAAGAGTGGGAAGGAAAATGAACAGTCACAAAGAGGGCCCTGGTTAAACTGAATAGGTCACAAAACCAAACCAAAAGTTAGGAATCTGGGAGACAGGTATGGAGGAGGGATGTGGGAGGGAGATTAGAAAGAGTGGGGAGGAGAGAGTAAGAAGTATGCATTTTATACTGTCAAAGAACTAAATAAAAACTACAAAAGAAAATAAAATGTGGTCCATGTACACAGTGGTATTTTAGTTAGCTGTAAAGATTAACTAAAGAAATTAGAACATTTACAGGAGAACAGATGGAGTTGGAGATGATTCTATTAAGTGGAGTAAGCAGGATCATAAAGACAAAGATGTTTCCTCTCCTATATGAAATACAGATTTAAATATGTGTGGAGGGGGCATGAAGGTAGGAGGGTAACTTTGAGGAGGAAGGGAGAGATCTAAAGAGGGGGGACCAGCAGGGTAATTGGGATGCATGCCATGAAAACAGAAGGGGAGCTCTCTGTGGGGAGAAGGGAGGCCCGAAAGAGGCAAGGAAGGAGGGCAGGGAGGGAACCATGTGAAGGATGAGCAAAAGAAAAGTATAATGAAATACATAGTACGAAAATGTCACAAAGGAAATTCATTTCTTTGCAAAAATATAATTTAAGGTATCAGTACAAAACTGAATCGAGATTTTGGTATTAATAAAATAAGAGCCCTAAGGAAGGCTAACAGCAAGTCCTCTACATGGACAAATCAGCAGCATTTGCAGAAACAATAGACTTGACCCAAACAACACACTATAATAGACCTTGACCCAAGCTACATGAGCTTTGCTGGGTTCTGTGCATTAGGGACCTTGCTTTCAGGAGAAACGAAAGTTCCAAGTGACCTGAATTTGGCAGTAGGAAGGACCAGGTTGAGAATAATGTAGAGATCTCTGTGTGAGGAGTGCAAAAAAAAGGCAGAAGAGTTGAGTTCAACACTCAGGGTTTAGTTTTAACCCAAGAGGAAGAAATTGAGGGAAGTAGAAACTGAAGAAACCGAAGAAAGCAGGATTGCCTGAGCTGCCCGCCCTGCGGCAGACACTGCTGTGCCTCTGGGCTGTCCACACTCTCTAGGCTGAATTCACACTGGCCGTGCTGTAGAATCTCCAGGTCACTGAGCAGCAGTAACACTGGAAACCAATGTAGCATCAACAGCGTTTTGAGTTTGGAAATCACTGGCAGAAAGAAACTCAGCGAGGCCAGTTGAGGAGCTTCAGGGCATGTGTGGGAAGTGATTTCACAGCGGATGAAGAGTTTGAGTGTTATCTGGGGAGAAATCCACAGAAAACCAGCACACTTTTGCATCTTCTGCAATCGTATGTGGAGTTGTTTCCTCCCACTGTGCATTTCTGAGATGCTTAAAGAGCCATCCTTGCTACTACCCTTGAGTAATTCATGGATAGACAGCAGCGTTCTAACTGGTCTTATCTCCTCCTAATCTCCCTAAATGTTCTCCATAAGAAGCCCGAGGATGTTTGCTTGTTTGTTTGTTTTGAGGTAGGGACTTGTTATGAAGCCCAGACTTGCCTGGAACTTTTCATCCTTCCTCAGTCTCCCAGTGTTGATTACCAGCATGCACTACCATGCCCAGCATGAAGGATCTTTCAGAGTCATAGTTTTACCTTCTTACTGAAATCACCCCAAGGCCTTCAAACACAATGCAACTTTGAGTAAAATGCAGTCTTCTTCCCTGATCTCCTAAGATGCTGTAAGCACTGGCCATGTCAGCTTTGCATCTCATGGAGGTGTCTGGACCCATCTTGTCCTTGATGCCACTACACACAGAAACTGCCAAGACCCTCTGCAAGCATTGCCCTGTTTGCATTATTCTTGCAGCTCACTGCTGTCTTGTTTCCTTCTTTATTGCCTTTCTCCTCCCTAGAATGCCCACTCCTCTAACCATAATGCCTTAAATACCAGGAAGACATACATTCTCGTTTTGTTCAACGAGTTGATAGGAAAGAGTTAGAGCGAGGCCTGGCCTGAAGCCTGAGAACCACAGCACACAATGATCTCCCATAATGCTTGGCTTTGCTTGGCTTTGTTGAGACATGGGATCGTACCGTGTATCCCATGTAGGCCCCAGTTTCACTCTGCTTCCCTGTTTCCCCCTGCCAAGTCCTAGGATTATAGATGTGGGCAATCGGACCTGCTCATTTCTAGGCATTTAAAAATTTAGAATCAGATATATAAAAGGACCTTTTATATCCATTTTTCCTGAAAGCAACACAATTTTATTATTTTTATGGGAGAATAATACCCGTGTGTGTGTGTGTGTGTGTGTGTGTGTGTGTGTGTGTGTGTGTGTGTGTGTAACATTTTCCTTATCCACTCATTTTGTGGTGGTGGGTACCTAGGCCGAGTCTGTAACCTAGCTGCTGGGAGTACTGTAGCAGTAAACATGGGCATACTGGTATCTCTACAGAGCTGACTTAATTATTTTAGGTATAAACGGAGAAGTAGTGTAGCTGAATTTTAGAGAGGTTCTATTTTTAATTTTAAGGAGCTCTGTGTGATGGTTTTTCATTAATTGGAATATTTATTCTGTTGGAAAAATGTGCAGTTTTTGGGGGCCTTGGGGGGAGAACTACCTTTGGCTGTAAAAATATAGCACACATTCACACTCCTTCCTCCCCTTGGGGGCAAAAAAAATTAGCACTATCTTACATCTTGCTAGGTTTGAGTGATGGCCCTGTGACCTCACCTGCTGGGGTAAAAGTAAGGGGCTCACTCACCACACCACCACATGGAAACTGCCAAGTCATTTGGGTTAGCAAATGTGTTATTTCTCATCTATTTGAATAACTAATGAGTATCTGATAGGTTTTAAAAACTATTTATTTCATGTGTCTTGACAATTTTCTTCTCATTAGAGAGTACTGAATCATTTTATTAACCATCATGGGGCAAAATGTTTTTATTAAAATGGCCTAAGGCACATAGCCATGTTTGGGAGCAAAATCAAGTTTAATTTGTTTTATCTTTTTTTTTTTTTTTTTGGAAATATTAAACCAAAACAACAAAAGAAAACAGACACCCTTATACTTAGTGGATATAAAATACCTTTCCAGGAAAGAACAATTTAAAACAAATGCTATTGCCCTATTTATTGCCGAGATGGCTGTTAGTAAATGAATGGAGGAAGAGAACATGGTACACATAGACAATGGAGTAGATTTAGCCATAAAGAAGAATAAAAATCCTGTTATTTTAAAACAAGAATATGTATAGGTCATTTTAATAAAAATGGGTGGATTTGGAGGACATCAGGATAAATGAAATAATATAAATACATAAAGACAAGTACTGTGTATTCTGTCACTTATGGAAACACTCACACACACACATACACACACACACACACACACACACACACACAAGGGAGGAGAAAGAAGACCTAAAAATGTAAGAGACTGAGAAGGAGGTGTGAGGGAAGGAAGAGGGTATAAGGGTAGATAGACATGATTAGTACATGGATAGGCATATATGGCAATATCAGCAATTATTATGTTAATAATTGTAATAAAAAGCAATGCCATATTTGTAACAGTTGTATTTAAACATTAAAAGGTTTAACTATTAGAATCAATAATCTACATATGATGAAAAACCATTCGTGAGATAATATTAATAAAAAACACCCGAAGAGCAATACAAGTCCCGACAGTCTTACCAAACCACCTCCGATAACAGCCACTCTTTGCCCTTGAGCGTCAGATGAGGCCATAGCTGCTCGAACACCTCTTCTGTCCAGGTTAGAACTCTGTGTTCTACATGCTGCTGTTTTGCGATCTTTTTATTGCCAGGAGTCCGGGGCCTTTGTGAGCCAGCAGCAAGTCTTGGTCAAAGCTCACTTCCTTTGACGGGGTTTAACTCGTTAGAAGCCCAAAGTCCAATCAGCTCTGCTCTTCTCAGAGACAATTCACTGCCATGACCAAAATTTGAAAAACCTAGTCATGTACAAGACACTTAAAAAAAAAAAATAGCAGTCTTGGGGCTTTTCTTCTTCTTCTTTTCTACATGTGTTAGTTTCGTTTTCATTCAAAATACAGTAAGATGAAACGTGTGTTGTCTGAGGTTCTGCAGCATCTTCCACTTCTCAGAGAGAGTGAGATGATCTGGATCCACAACTTATCCCTGCTACTGAGACAAACCAAGAATCTGGCCCAAAGGTCTTTGTGGGCTGGTTGCCTTTAACCGTCTCTGCTGGAAAACACTTTCTGCTGTTTTAATAGTTTCCTGAGCAGGATTTGTAGATGTGTAACCGACTGGCCACATTTTCTCTTTGTTGTTGTTGTTATTTTAGCACAGGACTTTAGAATCTAGCTTGTGCTTTGCCATGGGCAAGGTGGTGAACACACACAGCAGCATCTCTAGACTCGTGTCTGGGGCACCTGGTCACTCTTTTGACTTTTTGACTTGTTTACTTCTTCTTGATGGGGGGGGGGGGGGCGCTATTAGTGAGTTGTACTTCTTTCTAGGAGGCATTGTGGTATAAAGTGAAATGAAAGCATAAATGAAGATTTATTTCTTTCCCAATTTTTGGTGAGAACGCAAAGAATTCAGAGGGTCATTGCCTTGAGTAGGGACTGGAAGGAAACACCACTCGATAGCGCCCCCTCTGGGTGAGTACATTATAGGTGCCAGAAAACTCCTGAGTATTTATAGTAGTAGGTAATCTACCATGGGCCTGAAGTTAAAGACCAGCAAGGACACACAGGGAAGGGCAATTCTGTGAATTCTGTCTCCTTGGGAGCCTCGTTCTTTTGTCCAGAGACAAGAATCTAGCAGTGGTTTTGCTGTGTGGATTACCCTGTTCCTCTCCAAGCTCCTACGTCTTTTCCTTTCTCCTTCCCTTCCCCCTCTTCTTCCTTCCCTACTTTCTCACCTGACCTCACTTCCCCTTTTCTCTTTCTTCCTTTCCTTTTCAATATAAATGTTAGCAAATTTCACACCTCTTTCCACCCCATTTATTTCCTTTCAATTAACAACGTATAACTCAAGAGTTCTTTAGTATCAATATAGAGAGAAACGTATCTTTATAGAAGCTTTTTAAAAATTAAGGACTATTATCCAAACAAGGAAAGCACTCAAGCACAAATGTAAGCGTGGTAACTTCCTGCGCAGCATGTGCCTATCGTGGAATTCCAGAAGGAAAATATTGCCAGCTTGCCAGAAGTCTGCTGCCCCAGGCCCCTCACTCCCTTTCAGAGGGGCCACTGTGCCAGCGTTATCTTCCTGTTTGGGGTTGGACAATCTGTGCCATCATATGTGCATCTTAGAAATAGTCTGACTTTGTATCTCTTTCTTTTTAAAGTTTACTATAAACGAACACATAATTGTGTGTGTGTGTGTGTGTGTGTGTGTGTGTGTGTGTGTGTGCATGTGTGTGCAAGTTTCATCACTGGGAACTGAACCTAGGGCCCCGTGCATGCTAAGCTCTCTAGTTACCCCTGACTATATCCTCGGCCCTGTTTTGTTTCATAGCTTACTTCTTCTATTCAGTGTCACGCTTCTTAAGATCCATCTGCGTTGTGTCACATAGCTCTGGTTTGTTACTTTTCATTGTTGTATTATTACTTTCTCGGTGTTGCCATGTTCAGAAACCTTGAGGTATTTTGGATTCTTGGTACGGAGTTTGGTACTATGTTCTTCCCTGGAAGATTCTGGGCTCTTGTCTTTGCCCCTGGAGTTCCAACATTTCTTGATAACATACTTTGCTCTTTGCTCTGACTTGTTCATACTTTCTGGATCAATGGAATTCTCTTCTCTTAAAAAGCAAAACAAAAAGATGTATCTGTATTTTAAACTTCTGTGTGTCTGTGAGAGAGGCACGCATATGGCAGTATATGCATCTTCAGAGTTCTGAAGATGGCACAGGGTTCCTTGGAACCTGAGCCACAGACAGTTGTGAGCACTCTGCACAGATGCTGGGAACCAAACCTGGTCCTCTGCAAGAGCAGCATGTGCCCTTAACCGCTGAGCCATCTCTCCAGCCCCAGTGGCCCCTTTTTGAATTTATTGGTGTAAAGGTTTTCTCCAACTTTATTCCTGTATATCATTTTATGTTTACTGTACCAGACTGCTATTCTTATGAACACATCCATACTGTTTTTCTTATCTTTCAGTATTTGCTCTACTTCTTAGGAGAATTTTATGTTTCTATCTTATAAACTTTCTATAGAATTTTCTTTTTTTTTTAATTTTAATTTTTATTTTGCAATACAATTCAGTTCTACATATCAGCCACGGATTCCCTTGTTCTCCCCCCTCCCGTCCCCCTCACCTTCCCCCCAGCCCCCCCCCCATTCCCATCTCCAGGGCAAAGCCTTCCCCAGGGACTGAGTTCAACCTGGTAGACTCAGTCCAGGTAGGTCCAGTCCCCTCCTCCCAGGCCGAGCCAAGCAATCCTGCATAGCCCCCAGGTTTCAAACAGCCAACTCATGCAATGAGCACAGGACCTGGTCCCACTGCCTGGATGTCTCCCAAACAGATCAAGCCAATCAACTGTCTCACCCATTCAGAGGGCCTGATCCAGCTGGGGACCCCTCAGCCACTGGTTCATAGTTCATGTGTTTCCATTCGTTTGGCTATTTGTCTCTGTGCTTTATCCAACCTTGGTCTCAACAATTCTCACTCATATAAACCCTCCTCATTCTTGCTAACTGGAATCCCAGAGATCCACCCGGGGCCTATCCATGGATCTCTGCATCCAGATCCCTCAGTAGTTGGATGGGGTTTCTAGCACGACAATTAGGGTGTTTGGCCATCCCATCACCAGAGTAGGTCAGTTCGAGCTGTATCTCGACCATTGTCAGCAGTCTGTTGTGGTGGTATGCCCTTCAGCTGAAGAATGGATAAACAAAATGTGGTACATATACACAATGGAATACTACTCAGCAGAGAAAAACAATGACATCATGAGGCTTGCAGACAAATGGATGGATCTAGAAAAAAATCATCCTGAGTGAGGTAACCCAGACTCAGAAAGACAAAGATGGTATGTACTCACTCATAGGAGGATACTAGATGTGGAACAAGGATGACTGGACTGCTACTCACATCACCAGGGAGGTTATCTGGAAAACAGGACCCCAAGAAAGACACGGGGATCGCCCAATGACGGAGAAATGGAAGAGATCTACATGAACAGCCTGGACATGAGTGGGGGTAATGAAGGGTGAGGGTCGAAGGAAAGAGAGCTTGGGGGAGCGGGAGATCCCAGCTGGATCAACAACAGAGAGGGAGAACAAGGAATAGGAGACCATGGTAAATGAAGACCACATGAGAATAGGAAGAAGCAAAGTGCTAGAGAGGCCCACAGAAATCCACATAGAATTTTCTTATATGTACAGCTTATAAGTTATATTTTTAAACAAGGTTTCAAAAAACAAAACAAAATAAAATCTCCCTCCTAACCACCCAAGCTAGGTGGTGTATTTACATCTCAAGATCTTTATTTAAAAGAGGGAGAGGTCTCTCCCCTGCTCAGTCTCTTGCCTCATTGCTAGATTGGAACTCCAGCTCTTGTGCACGTGTTTTACTGCTAACTATTATCCAAGCCCCGGGATGATTTGACCAGATTTGAACAGTGCGATCAATTCTGTCAGCTGGGAGCTGAGATTTGGAGCAGAAGGGAAAACTGCTAGGTTTGCACTTGTCTCTTAAAGCAGGACAAAGGTCACATCCCATAAAGAACAGAGTGTAAATAAATCAGAAACACAAAAAAATCAGCAAGTGTCAATGAGAACAAAACAGGTCACTATTATCAGACAAGTCCAGAATTTAAAAAAATACAACTTTAAGCAATGCAAAAATACTACTATACACAGATATAAGGTTGCACCCTAAAATAAAGATGTGCAGTGCCAACCATTAATGAAAAGGCTTTAAAAACATTTTCTTTATTGACAACAATTAACTAAGCCACTGTTCTCCACATTTCAGTCACTTGTATTCTACCTTTTCTACATGCTTCACCTTTTGTTTCTGTTTATTTATGTTCCTGTACATTTTATTTAGCTAAAATGGAATTTTATATTGCTGTTACAAGTAGAAATTACCTTCATTAGTAAATAAAATTAAAAGTTAATAGTTGGGAGTTCTTGGATATTAATGTTCTCTTTGCAAAATGGACCATCTCATTATCTCATACTCATAAAGTTACTCTCAGTGTTTAATGAATTAATACATTTTAAATGAAAGGCATCTGTAATCTCAGCCCTGGAAACATTGAGGCAAAAAGACTGTGAATTCAGGGCCAGCCTGGGCTACACAGTATTTCAACAAAATGAAAACTATAAAGAGAAAAATTCTGGAATATTTTATGTGTCATAGGTGATATTAAACAACCCACTCATACAAAGCTCATCAGGAGGGATTTCAAAAAGTTAAACTGGGCTGTAGGAACTGGAGATATGCTTGAAAAAGAAATGAAACAAACAAACAAAAACAAAATGATAACTCTAATCAGATGAAATTTGTACAAATACCCATATTAAAAAGAACTTAAAATAACAAACAGTAATAGAAATAGACATCCTTGGATCCTGGAGACAGCTCAACAGGTAAATGTACTTGCTACTAAGCCAGAAGACCTCAGTTCATTCCCTGCATCCACATAGTGGAAGGAGAGAATCAATTCCCACAAATTGTCCTATATGTGTGTACTGTGGCACCAAAACCCAAGCCCAAAATGACATTAAAAAATGTAAATAAAATTTTAAATTCATGAAATAGAATATTATTAAATTAAAAAGATCATGATTACATTCCCGACACAGGATTCCATTTCAGAAGTAGGCTTTAAAATGACTGTAGGTGGAGTTTCTCTGTGTTTTGGAAGCTGCTCCAAAATAACCACAGAGACTTAATATTAATTATAAATGCTTGGCTGATAGCTCAAACTTGTTACTAACTAGCTCTTAAAACTTAAATTAACCCATTTCCATTAATCTACATATTGTCACATGGCTTATGGCTTTACCTGTCTTCCAGCATGTTTTGTTCCCTCTGTGTCTCCTGGCGACTCCTTAGACTCCACCTTTCTTTCCAGAATTCTCTCTGCCTCGAAAAAACCTGCTTAGTCATTGACCAATCAGCTTTTTACTAATACATATTAATACATATTCATATTGTACAAAAAATTGTTCCACAGCATTTCCTCCTTTTTGTCTAATTTAAAAGGAAGGTTTTAACTTGAATATAGTAAAATTATATGTAACAAAAATAAATTGTTAGGTAAGAATTTTACTTGCAATATCCAGTCTATTTGTATTTGGCAAATTTAGAGAAAATATTCTATTATTTATCTTATCTTTGTGAGTCTAAAGTTTTATACCAAATTTACCTTTTATCATAACTAAGGAAAACTTTAACTATGACTATCTAGTCTTCAACTCTATCAAAGATCCCAGAAGGGTAAGATGTTACCTAATGTTAGGAATGTCTGGCTGCCTGAACAACCACCCTAGGTTCTTCTGTAATGTTGGGGCATCCAACTTTGGCCTACAGGCCTGGTATATCTGACAGACATTTCTGAGATGCAGGGAACTTTGAAGGACTGTCCTACCTTATCTTGGCAAAGTCTGGCAGTTGCTTTCTTTTGCATCCTGCTGGTCCAGTTTGGACAGTATACTGTCAGCAATTGAGGCAAGGGCAGCTTCTTTGCCCAAATGACTAGCTTTTGCCATAAAGAAAACAAACTCCATATGGAGGTTCTTTGATGTCCATCATCTTCTTTTGAAGTAAATTGGTGCTGTCAGGAGCTGATATATCTCACTGTCATGAAAAGACTTTTGTTATTAAAACATTTTACATGCCATATTCTGTGGGTCTTTAAAGTTTTTGAAGACCATCTCTCTATCTAAATATATCTGTTTAACCTTGAAAACATACCTAATATGACTATAAGTTTGACTATTATAGATGACTAACTACTAATCTGTAATTCTTAACTATATATTATATTTTTAAATGAGCTATATAAGCACAATACGCCAAACAAGAGTAGAAACATACATACAGTATAGCATCATTAACTTTAAATTTGTATCATTAAACTAAAATCCATACCAATGTAAAATATTTTGAGATTAATAGTTGTTAAAAGTAGATTCAATGACCTACCCTTTTATCTTATCATTTATATATTCCCCTTTTTTCCTTTAGAAAGAGATCTTTGAATGCCGGGCAGTGGTGGTGCACACCTTCAATCCCAGCACTCAGGAGGCAGAGCCAGGCAGATCTCTGTGAGTTCTCGAGGCCAGCCTGGTCTACAGAGTGAGATCTAGGACAGGCCCCAAAACTACACAGAGAAACACTGTCTTGAAAAACCAAAAAAAAAAAAAAAAAAAAAAAAAAAGAAAGAAAGAAATAAATCTTTGAATTTAACTCTTTTGTTTAGCTTTTTTTTGACTATGTCTAATAACAACTTATAATTCACCCCCTAAACAATGATGAACATTTATAATCCATTAAATAACCAAAATCCAGCCATACCCCATCTCTTGGGAATGTGGATGTCCTTTTCTAGACTACTTCCTCTTGTCTGTGGGCACTGGTATCTTTTGGGGAACATTGAGAAAAATCAGGGTAATTGTTAGGTATTGAATGGAGCATTTTGTGAGGCTGGATTATCTCAGCCAGCAGCCTTGAAGCTGTTCTGGATGCAGAATTCACAAACTGCAATAGAGGCATTCTGAGATGTTGGATCATTTGGGCCATCCATTTTCACTGGTGTTTGGTCCCTTCGTTCTGAAAATACATAATTTTTCAAAAGGTAACATATATTATAAGTATGGAATATATGGTATGCAAACGTCAGTTAAGGATGATTTTTTGTTTTATGTTTGAGCAGGTAAAATATACATTACATGACTTGTAGGGTTTCTTTAGGTTTATCTCTTAGTTCACAGTCAGGATTTTGAGGGGGTCTTCCTTGATCAAACCTGATCTGTATCAACCTGGAATGAATCCATACCCTCTCATTTCCTGAGGAAATAAAAGCATCCCCCCCCTCCGCACAATATATCATAACAGAGCTTACCTGAGAAAAGGTGGTTACCAAGATGCTACGTTTGACTCCATTTTTGTGTGTTTGGAACTTCTTTTAAATGCTTTTTCAGGTTTTATGTGGATCTACGTTGCCTGATGTTGGGCTCCAAATG